GGAGGAAGATGGCAGGCAGGGGTGCACGAAACAGTGGCCGAGGAGAAGAAGAAGAAGAAGAAGAAGAAGAAGAAGAAGAAGAAGAAGAAGAAGAAAAGAAGAAGAAGAAGATGGGTGGTGGAAGATGGCGGCCAGGAGGTAAGAAACGGTGGGCAAAGATGATGAAGAAGAAGAAGAAGAAGAAGAAGAACTCTCTCTCTCTCTCTCTCTCTCTCTCTCTCTCTCTCTCTCTCTCTCTCTCTCTCTCTCTCAGAAGAAGAAGAAGAAGAAGAACTAACTAACGACTTACTGGTGGAGGCCACGGCGAGCGTGTTGAGGCAATAGCGCGCGCGCTGAGGCGATGACTCGCGGAGTGCGCAGGCACGACGATGGCGTGTGGGCTAGCAGCTGGAGGCGACGGCATCACGACGGGCTGCAGGAGACAAGGGCGCGCAAACTGCGGGGGCAGCGGGAGGGAAAACACAGGGGAGGGAGCTTTGGCCTTGCTCCTCTACACAACACTATATGCATGCACGTGGCCCGAGAAGCGTCCAAATGCATCTAGAATCAAAACCGGGTCCGGTAGTTCCCGCACTGAACGATTCAAAAGCACGGCCTATCTGGGCCGCCGATCTCTCGAGATCTGCAGTTCAGATTGGCCACGATTTTGAATCATTCAGGGCGGGTCTACCGGACCCGTTTTCTTTTGTTTTTTGGCCTACCACACATCCTCCGGGGACGAAAAGGGCCCTGGCGTCGAAAAAAGCCCGAACCGCCCCCCCCTCCTGTCATGTCCTGGGGCCGCCCGGTGGCGAACCAGGGGGCACAACCAGCCAGGCAGCCTGGACCCCCCCCAGGCAGCGTCCAGGTCACCGGGTGGCCCGGGGATCAGCCTAGTTAATTGGACCATTTCTCGACTTCTGTGAATCATCCTTGTCCAGGGGCCATGCTAATCTACTCTGTATAGTTCCAATTTTAACGGATGTCTCAAAGGTTTTTTTTTTTTTTTTTTTTTGGTAGAAAGCCGGTCGCAGTCCGCTAGAGGGGGACTCTTCAAGCGTTTTTAATTTCTCTGTATCCTTTTTTTTAATTTCTCTGAATCGTTCCAATTTTAACGGATGTCCCGGAGGACATTCTTTGAAGAATTTAAGACTTTTTAATCTTTTATATTCAGAGAAATATACTTCGCTTTTCGACTTTCTTTTTAAGAAGGTTGTCCAACACTACTCATGGTTATTGTATATCCATCCAACAGGATTTGGACCCTTGACCTCTTCATTAACAGTGACATCTGTGTACCGCACAGCTTCCGCCGGACACAGCAGTTTCACAGAAAGCTTTCTATTCTTTGTTATTTAATTCCAGAGACGCATCCACCTTCAGAGACATCAAGCAGACCTGGACAACCGGCACCTGACCGCCGATACGTCTGTCTGGATGCCCATGATTGCAGCCATGATACCTCTGTGGCATCACTGGCATGTTTGTGAAGCCTACACCCCCAACCATTAACCAGCAATGCGCACCGGCAACATCATACTCACATTTTGCAGTATGGTTGATCTTTGAAGAACCTTACAAGTTTCATCCCTCTCCAAAGGTCCCACACCATTCCCTACTCGAGGAGGAGGAACGCCCGTGCTCTCCAGCTCTGCGTGAGACGTGGCAACCGTCCTCGGTGACAGTGTCCAATCTTTCTCCTCCACAATCTGCGACAAGAAGTGCAGAGCATCTCTCCGTGGCTCTTCTGCAGAACTAGACAGCACATCCAGGCATGTCGTCAACATGCACTGTGGATCCAGCAGGAACACCTCTGCAGCTGTGACAGAGACCAACCTCATCACGGCCTGATATCGGCTTTCGGAAGCACTCCTCAGAAGTTGCCGACCATAACCAGAAGCGTTCTGTTCGTTCTGCGGCCCTTCCCACTCTCTGTAATTCCTATGGTTTGCGGTATCCCCTACATCAGCCGAGTCCGCCGCGGACATGCTGCGGCCATCCGCAGTTGGGATGCCAGTGGATGAGGCAAACGGTCTGCAGAGCGAAACATCGGAACCAGCGGCGTGTCCATCACCAGCATCATGACGACCTCGGCGAGGAGGGCCAAGCAAAGGGAGAGGCGTGCCTTTCAGAGACTGCAGCAGAAATTGTGCCAACTGTTGGGAATAACGAGCACCATCTTCGGGGGTGATTGCCTCACACTCCACTGCCTCCTTAACCGCTGCCAAGTAATCTAGCAGCCCGGAGAATGCAGCCTCCGCAGTCACCCACGCAACTCCATCGTCATCATCACTCTCGCAAACGAGGTTGCTCCCCCAAATGCAAAAATCGATCAGCACCGCTCCGGCCACATCCAGACAACTTGGGCAATGCCGCGCATAACGAGAGATCAGGACAGCCGCAATCCGCCTTACACTGGAACAACCTGCCACCAAGAAACATACAGTGGATGATGACCACAAAGGAGGATCACTTTTTCTCCTCTTTTTTTCTTATGAGACCAAAAAGTACCTCATCTGTGCGCACAAAACCTATAAACAAATTCCCGTCTACTATCCCTATGGCTGAACAGCACGCACCCGTCCCTCTTCCTGTCCTGCTTCTATAGTTTCTTACCACCCAAATGGAACAGGCATGCATAGCCCAGATTCACTTGCAAACTGTTTCAAAATGTAAGCATGGAATGTGCACCCAGACAAAGTGAGCATAACTCCCATCCTGTGCTCATATAAGGGATGGGTCTGCAGACAGACAACTGGGACTCCAATGTCAGCATCAATCTTTTATCCCCAATGACAAACTGATCATAACATGGATCCTGTGCGCATACGAGGGATCTTCGTTCGGAATCCTCTCCACGTTGGTAAAGTCAGCAACAAGCACAAGCGCTCAGAAATCCCCACCAAGTGGATTGAGAGAAATGATATGTACCCTGAAAACTAGATCCGATGAGACACAGTATAAAAGACCCCACCAGTGCCACCACCAATGCTTCGCTGCACATGGAAAGCAGGAGCGACTCCCAGCATTCTCACCGAGTTTTGCTCAACAAATGCACTCACCAGATTGAGATGACGAAGAGTTGCACGAGCAAAGGCTTGGGCAAAACCCAGAAAATAATCCGGTATATCTCTAGGTGTTCGAGGTTCCACACAAAAAGTGTGCACAAAGAGAGATCTAACTCTCTTCTCGGGACCCCACCCTGAATGTATCTCTCGAACCTGCTTTCTCTCCTCCAGTCTCAATTGATCATAACTTTGCAGTTCAGCAGTGCAACTCTCCCCGGGACCCCACCCCAGCTCAGTTGCCACTACCAGTACGAGAAGCAAAAAGCCCAAATACATCCCCTGTGCTTGAAAAACCTCCATACCAAAATTACAGCCACTTGTGCAGTGCACCGTGCGCTGCACAGTGTCCCAAGAGGCGGTGCACCACACCAAAAATGTTAAATGAGTAAAAAAATAAAAGTACTTGTTTGGAGTTCGAATGACCCACTTAGCCAGGGGGATATCCCGAAGAAGCACGGCTCCGACCTCAACAACAACCTTGGCGCTTTTTTTTTTCAACTTGTTAAAAAAACAGAAAATTCAAAATTTTGGTTTCCTCTCTAGGCTACCATAGTGGCCCGGGGTCACTTGCCCGGCCGGGCCAAAAACAATTTGATGCAGAATTTCGATGTGACCCTGAGGCACCCGACTCAGACTGGGCACCCGGGACATGGTTGAAGGACCCAATAGAAAACAAGACAGTCTGGAAAATCCTGGGGCCTGACCTGAGATCGGACGTCAAGGCCCAAAAATGGACACTCCATACCAGGGGCCAATCAGATGGTCCAATTGAATTCAGTGAGGAAAGAGTTATCTCCCCAGCACCGGATTGGGAGGAGGTAAGGGTTTTAGAGACGCTCTCCAACAAAAAGCGGTGTGCACACTGATCCCGGTAGAGGTATGACCATCAAAGTCGAGCCTCTTATTCAGGGATGGCCACCCCAAGAGACCCGGCACAGCTCTGACGCAAGTTCAACGGCCATTCCTTTAATCAACTATAGACCAAAGACTGGAGTTAAGTGCTTCAGAGCTACCAGGAAGAAGAAGCCCCTGGCAGCATTAAAGAAAAGGGTCGCAAAACTTCAGATCACACTTCCCAAGGACATTGACTTATATAAGTTTTGGAAGGGGCTGAAGAGGCTACCATTGCAACGCAACGCGGCAATAATGTGGCTGCAATCCATGAACGTCACTACAACGGCTGTATGGCTCAAAGCCAGGGGTCTACTCATTCCAGAGAACTGCATCAGATGTAACTGGGCCTGGGAAACGGCCTCCCACCTCTGGCTGTATTGTCCCAAGTCATCAGAGGTTTGGGAATGGTGGAAAGACAGATGGAGACTTCTGGGGGAGAACATGTCAGATTGGTCAGACAGTTTTATACAACAGGGCATACCAGAAAGAGAAGGCCCACTCACGAGTGGCAGGAATTACATACTATCCACCTGCAGGGGGATTGTCCTGGAGGCCATTTGGTGGTCAAGGAAAGATCTTCTATTCAAAGGAGAAACTCGAATCCGGCAACACATTTGCAACCGAATACTGCTTGAATTGCGGACCACAGTTATATCAGATTGGAGATCCAAAAACTTCATTTGGTTCGGCAAGACCTGGGCTGACAAGGGGTCATTCGCGACCCTCAGCACTGATGGTAGTATGTCTTTGGCAGGTTGGCTGATGAGCTCTTGATGCCCAGGTTTAGAGCACCCTCCCCTCTGTTTTAAAATTTGTTGTTTTAAGTCATTAGTCCAGTTGCTACTTTGTTCCACGAAGGATAGTTTTAAGGGACCCGATTTCCAGCTAGCCTGCATTATGGGACGCTGGACCCGGTTTCCAGCAAGCCTAAGCTGGGTAATGGCCCCAGTTTTTCCTCCGGGTTGTCATGTGGAGGTTTTCCCGGCCTCCGTTTTTTCATTGGAATAAAACTATCTTTCTGTTAAAAAAAAAAAAAAAAAAAAAAAAAAGTTGTTCAGTTTATTTTTCTGCATAACATAGTTTTTTTTCCGGATTTTTTGGATTTTTTTTGGGTTTTTTTTTTTGGCTGGGACCTTCCCTGGTCCTTGCACAGGCTGGCCACCCGGGACCCGGGCGGCCCGGCTGGTAGCCTAGTTTCCTCTTACTTTAATGAAGGTTTTCTTTTTTTTTTCTCCAGAATGTTCAGACTATTTTTTTCCCAAGTCTTTTGGCGATTTCTCAAATGCGCTGCAACCGTAACCATTGCATTTGTGCACAGTACAACTATGCTCCATACCCAAGACGTAAGTACAGTTGTGCAGATGGACTCCCACCAGTACGCCAGAGCCTCTTTTTACCGAGGCGGATTCCCCCTGTGCACAAAGCTTTGCCAAAACGCCAGCACGACTTTTTTTTTTCCCTTTTGGCTGGCGCCACCGGCCATTTTGGCCCAGTAGCACTATTCATCCGAAAATTTCGGAATATAGAGGCTGCTTTATCTTATACAGGCGCCCATTTTCGATTCTGAAGTTTGCCTGGGCGGTGTACTTGCGTTTTAATGGGAGAAAGTGTCGGGCCGAGACGAAGAGCAGATTGGAGAGAACAGAGACACACCAGAACCAGTGCTTACTGCATGACCTGGGAGTAGGTAGCACTTCAATTCATTTCTGCTAAGGGAAGAGATGTCACTCTACGAATTGGAGTGATGAGTGATGACGTCAACAGAATGCTCTTGACAGAGCATCACGAAAGGGGAGCAAACAAGAGTGGGTGTCGATGCAGCTAGCATGATCCATGGGGACTAGTCCACGTTTTGCGGTGGGAATGAAATCTCCATTCAAAAACTCCATTCAAAAATTCCTGTTCTCACAGTGTACTTGACAGTTTCCTGATGGGTGGCATGCAACACCAATCTTTTCCTTCTTCCGTACCTTCTGCTTTTACCCCGTGATATTTGGGTAATAACAAGCAACAAAGATTTTTCATGATCCATTCATTTATCGAAAATCCATGCTTTAGGTGTTTCTAAAATACATGACTTTCACAAAACGTACATAATGAAAGCGACTAATAACGCTGGTTACTACTCCTGTTAAGGCTGAGGACTAAGTCCTATTCAAGCTGCTGAGCATTACATCCCCACTGCCTTTGAAACTGCCAAGCCGACGCTGAATGAGAACAGAATGACTTGTGAGGCTAGTCTGAAGTATAGGTAGTTAATAAGTGCTGAGCGTGGAGGAGGCCCAGAGCTGCCCCCCCCCCCAAGGCTCGCATAGTGTATGTCTGGGTACAGAGCAGAGGTTTCCTGGCCATTATGTGAGCCCCGAGGGGAGGGAGAGCAGGCATGCGTCACTGAACTGCACTGCCCCCCAGTCCCCCCTGCATAGCGTCTAGTGCAGAACAGGCAGGAGGATGAACTGCACCACCTGCTTTTCTTCTTCTGCTTCTTCGAACTCGATTTCATGCTTGCCGGTGATAAGCAACCGCACTGTCACCCCCCGGAATAGAAGGTGCCCATGTGTGTGTAAGTGAAAAAAAAGAGAAAAGAAACGAAGAAAAAGAAACGGACCAAAAAAAAAAGAAAAAAAAAAAAAAAAAAAAAAAAAAAAAAAAAAAAA